AGAAAGGACCACAGACAATCATCGCTGCATTGTTTGTTGGTGGTATTAGGGATGCGGAGGCAGCCTTGGTACCCATCACTTGGGAGGTAGAGTGAAATGTGAGGGGGTCCAATACAGGGTCCTATGCAGCAATCAGAAGCAAGGAACTGGGATGACATTACCTGCAACAGGGATAGATCCTGAAAAAGAATGTCGAGTGAAAAAAGTAGAAAATAAGATGACACCTAAAGTCTGATACCATTACCAAACATTTACAAATGCACTAATAAAAATGGTATACATATTTCAAATTACATATCCCAGCACAGTAGCATGAATGCCAAGGGGCTGAGGATGAGGGTAGGATGGGGATAAAGGGGGAAAAAAATAGAACTAGAGGGGTCTTGCATGATTAATGGAGAGAGAGAGAGGGGAGGGAGAGAGAGGGAGGGAGAGAGAGAGGGTGAGAGGTCTTTCTTGAGAGAAGAGCAGATTTTCACGATGTGGTTCCAAATACGTTTTCCCAGGGTGTCTTGAACTCTGCACCCTACTTTTCTCACACTAGTGACCAAACTCTTTAAAGGCGGAGCCCGTAGTTTCTCTATCTTCGTTTTCCCTGCCTGTGTTTTGCACACAGTAACTGCTTCCTAAGGGGTGGAATTGACTCGAATTGAGATGATTTCTTGTTCCCCTGACAGGGTCTCTGTCACAGAGGGTGGCTGCGGGCCCTTCCCCATCCAGAACCGTCTGGTCCACATTTCCTCATTAGCGTTAGTCTCTGGGCTCTCCTTTGCCGGCTCCCTGTCCCTTCCCCATGCCTCTTTCTCGGTTGCCTCCGGCCATTCGCTCTCTCCAGTCTCTTCGCTATTTCTGACTTCCGTGCGCCCCTTGGGACTCCTCCTAGCTTCGCAGAGGCACCGCCCCCTTATTTCCTTGGCCCCGCCCCATTTAGGAGATTTGCATATTTCCAGGGACGACGCGGCCCCGGTGGGAGCCTCAAGGGCGCCTCCCCCTTCGAAACTCCGCAGCGCCCAGAGAGAGCGTAGCGGTTGCCAGGCGACGGGGGGACGCCTCAGCGTCTGCTTGCGCCGCCCGCCCCCGCCCCCCCGCCGGAAATAGAAATAACGTGGCGCGGTTTTAGACGGCCGGGCCAGTGCACAGCCCTTTCCTCAGAGTCTCGCCGGGTTTCTGCGACCTCCACAGCAGCCTCTGAGGCCGCCTGCAGAGAGCGTCAGGATGGCCGAGGTCAGGAGTCAGCGCCCCTCTCTGTCGCTTCTCGCTCGACCCCTCCCCCTGTGCCTCTCCTACTGTCGACTTATCCTCTGTCATACCCACGGATTCCAATATTTTCCCCATTAATATTCTAACCTCACCCCACCCCCCTGTCCCAGTTGGCTCTGGCCCCATCACCTCCTGCCCCTCCTTCAATTGGGTGGGTACTCCTCCACTCTGTCCCCCCCACTCCCCCACCAACTATTACATTGGCGCTGTGCTAAGCGCGGTAGGAAACGCACGACCAGCACCCACTCCTACATTTTGAGCCACAAGAGAGAAACGAATAGACATATTGATGGCTCACGGACTGATGGGACCTACAAGAAGGCTTAGGAGATATCTACTGTCACCCCTACTCACTGACCCTTGTATACCTGTCACACCATGATTCCCTATCAACGGATCACCTTCTGTAACACATCTTCATTAAGTTCTTCAGCCCATCACCATTGCCCCGTATTATCATTGGCCATTGTGTTATGATCTTGTAGCCTTTATTCACTCCCCACCATTGTAGCACACCCCATCTTCAGCCTCACCCATGAGGGGTCATCTCTGCAACCCTTTAAAGACAGCTGTCTGTCCATTAGCACCCTCATTTATAACTTCGATGGTATCACTTGCCATTCATAGTCCCTGTCCACCAAGGCCCTACCAGAATCCTTCATGGCCCTATCAGAGCTCTCCCCCATTTCACCCATCACATGGTCAGTCCCATTCAGGATCAGATACAGATTTTGTGGGGCTCAATGAAAAATGAACGTTCAGAGCCCCTTGTAAAAAATTATTAAGAATTTCAGGATGAGCCCTAACTGGTTTGGCTCAGCGGAGAGCCTTGGCCTGTGGACTGAAAGGTTCGATTCCGGTCAAGGCCATGTACCTTGGTTGTGGGCACATCCCCAGTAGTGGGTGTGCAGGGGGCAGCTGATGTTTCTAACTATCCCATGAGAGAGTAGATTAGTAAACTGACTGGGGAATGGGGCCAGTCTGAGCAAGGGGTCCTATGCATTGTCTCCCACCCATGAGGCCAGCCCTGGTCCCAGCTCCTGTCACCACCATTATACTTCCACCCCTATTGGTTCTCATGTCTCCTCTACACCATTCACATCCCCTCAGCATTCCATCTCCTCCATGATTAATCTCCCCTTCTAAACTCCATCTTCCCTGGTCAATAGTTCCCTCTCCTTATCATACAATCTCTTTCATACCCTCTATCTTCCTCACTGCCAGAGAGAAACATCGATCAGCTGCCTCTAGCACACCTCCTACTGGGGATATGCCCGCAACCAAGGTACATGCCCTGGACCGGAATCGAACCTGGGACCTTTCAGTCCGCAGGCCGACGCTCTATCCACTGAGCCAAACTGGTTTCGGCCTCTTGTCTCTCTTATATCCATACTGCCGGGGCCACATTTCTTTCCCCCACTACTCACACTTAATTATATTTCTTTTCTTCCCATCTTCTCCTCCCGTTCCTTCTAATTCTTCCTTTCCCCCCTATTATTTGCTTTTGAATATTTCCTCCTCCCCCTGCCACTAGTCATTGGTTTATTTCATTCTTCTTCATTTTCCGTACATTAGCTCCAGATACCAATACTATGAAATGATTATTTCCCAGTCCCTTTCCTATCATTATCTCCCCTATTTCTTCTTTCTGTTTTTCTTCCCACTTGATCTCAGCCAACTTTTTCTCACCTCTGCTTTCATAAGTGTTAATTC